GTTCTTTTATGAGTGTAATATTTTAGCATACGAACAAGACAGTTTTTTTTACTATTATTGTGTGATCTCGTGGTGAGAAAAAAAAAATTATCTCATTGTTGAACTCTTTTCACGTATGACGGAGCGAATCTCGGGTTGCGAGAGGATGGTTTCTCACCTCATGGCAGAAGCGGTAAGTCATTGTGTTACGTACTAACGTTGTTGTTAGCTCTACATGTCGTCCGACCGGTGATATACCATTTTCAAAATTGTTTGCAGTAGAGATTTAAGACGGATTTATTTTTTTAAAATTTTTATGGTTCAGTATAAGGTTATAGTCCTACGGAGAGTCCAACGTAACTCGGAACACACGTCCTAGCTTTCGACGGCTGTCTTCTGCGACTAACCGTCGTGGCAGGTTCTTTTGTTAAATCTTATGTGGTACCGCCTGATTTGACTTCTAATGGTTAAGTGAAGTGTTTTCTTCGCGGTACGGTCTGGATTCGTAAATATTATGAAGACGAGCTTCGTCTTCAAAGGGTTAACCAGCTGATTTTCGTAATGGTGAGGTGTAGTGTTTTCTTCGCGGTACGGACTGAATTCATAAATAATATTCAGACGATCTTCGGCTTCAAAGGGTTAAATAGGATAATCTGCTTGTTATAATCAAATCGTTTCACAAGTTTCGATTTATGTTTGTGTTTTAATTACCGAGACCGGCACATGCTGGTGCAGCATTAGATGATGTGTTGGCGATCGGCTTAGAAGACTGGATTTCAGACAAAATCAGCCCAATTTGTGATTTGCTTTAAAGTTTATTCATTAATTGAAACGAGTGATTTATTGCAAGAGTGGAGTCATATATCATTCGGCGGTTATTGAACAAATTACGCTACAGTCTACACTTTTGTTGATTTTGAAGGACCAGAAATGTTTTATACGACGTAGGGTCACACAGTACATGGGATATTTTGTGGACTACAAGATCCTGAAACTTTATAGGTATTACAGTTTTTTAAAATAAATTTTCTTTAATATTGTGGCCTATCCTTAACAAAATATTTGTGTTCTGGGAGTAAGTGGTACAATTTCGATCATTTTATGTTCAATTTGTTGGTTTACGTGTAACAAAAATAATTTGTTATTTTTAATTATATTTTACCCTTCGAAGCCGAAGATCTAAATATGTTTAAAACCTCTGTACATACCTTAAAGAAAACATAAAGTTTTATGTTGTGTAGAGAAATTATTCCTGTTTATCCTGGTAATCTTACGAAGCCGACAGATTCTTTCTATGGACAAAAATGTAGCGTTACTGATTGTTAAAGAGGTGGTACGTATATTTACCACTTTATTTTAAATGGTTAAAGTAAGAAGTATAAGATTTTTGTTAAAGGCCCGTAGACCTAGTCTGAAACATAATAATATTTATTACAGAGAAAATAAATATGTGGATGCTGGATCGAAACTAGTGCAGGTGACCGGATTGCCTTGCAGTGACGTCCACTGCGTAGCCGAGTGTTGCTGAGGCCGTGTGGCTAGGAGCCCCGATAATCGACGCGTTGATCGCCGTTGCCAGTAGAGGCGCGAAATATCCGCACTGTGTAGGCTAAAGGGCTTTTCTGTACAGAAAAATAAATGTCATCCCAGGCTGCCGTACCAAGTTTTGCATGGCAAATACAGCCAGGCTGGGTATTATACCCTTCGTTAACTCACCTGCTGAAATAATACGTGACATTGCGTTTTGTTTACAGGCTGTATTAATGTTTTTCGTATGATTCTCAGAGCAAACAGCGATTATTTCATTAAACACCGTTAACCAGTTGATCTTTGTCATGAACTATGGTGTTATCTTTGCGGTAAGGACGTTAGGCGACCGTTGGCTTCAAAATGTTAAGGCTTTCTCGTGGAGGAAATTGAAACTGAAGTTTAAAATGTTCAGTATTAAATAAACTGGCAAAATTGAAACTGAAGTTTAAAATGTTCAATACTAAATAAACTGGCTTTTTTGTTTCCAAAGCGACTTAGAAAACAAGATATCAGGCCTATGATTCCACCGAGGTAAAAGTTCAAATACAACTGAAAATTTGTCAGGTTTTACATTTGTTTATTTGTGCCCAGGTCAGGTTACAGACTTCTAATTTCTTCGCCGATAGATCTATTGGAAACAGCATCATGTCTCTTAAAATATGATTTTCCTTTCTCTCCTTATATCATTTGACGGACTCATTGGTAATTGTTTAGACTGCTAATTATCTCCAGCGTCCAACAACTGATTGTGATGATTTTAATTTTCTGTTTTGCTCGTCAGTGTATCGGATCACTACAGCTATCTGTTGCTTTTTTTTCAGACACGTGATTACGTAAATTTTGTTACGTGACTGTTGGTAGCATGAGAATGATAGACTGTATTAATGTTGCAGAATGAGTGTATGAGCTAAAGCGTCGTATAATATGTTTCATAAATGTGAAAAAAATTATTTCTGTGGCAAATAAGAACATGCTATGCAATTAGAATCTAAATTGTTGCACCTTTGTCGATGATGCTTATATATATACTGAATAACGCGGAATATCGTTCGATATTTTATTATTATATTTTACAGAACAACATGGTAACGTAGTTTCTGATTGGTTTGTGATAGATACATTGATCAGGCTACGGATTGGACAACTGGGATTCGATTCCCGACAGGGTAGTAGCTATATTAAAGCGGCCGGGATATGAAACTAACCCCTTTCGTCCATGAAGTGCTTAGGTTAATGGGTGGAATTCTACCTCACTTTTTAATGCATGTGGATTGCGTGGTGTTTAATCACCGTAGATAAAGTGGCAAATAGGTTACATCTGTATTGTGTCGTATAACATGGTGAAAATACCTGTAATGAAATTGTTCCATGAATTTCGTCTGCAAACGAAGCTTCATTCGCACGTTTGTGAGAAATAAGTTCGTCGCGAGTTTCTTAAAACGGAAATGTGTGTGCCTCGAAATTATGGTAGCCTGTATTTTGCATTGAAATTTGATCATGAAATTTCTTAGTGGAAACTAAAAAAATTCATTAAAATTTTAAAGTTGAACGGAAATTGTTTTGCTAAAATAACTTGTGGCATTTGTGGGGCCTGCGCCGTAGGATTCCAAGTGAGATTGCCGGCCGATGGATCTTCATCTCCCGCCACGAATTCCGGCCGCACACCACAGCTGATTACATTGCAGTGATTTCGTTTGGAGACATTTACCTTCAATAATCGAACCGCGAGGCTTTTCTTAATGTACTAATATGGCGTCGCTTGACGTTTGTCGGTTTGTCTGAGTAAAATGCGTTGCATATGAATTCATTTATTTGCCTTGGTCTGCCTTCACTGCGCAAGAAATCTGTGAGACGCGGGTGTCATGCTTAGGTTGTCAACGCTACAAAGTTTTCCCGGTTCGTTCACCGAAAACAAAATTAACTTAAGTTTTCATGGTAGTTCCTTCCCGGAGCCGGGAAATGACAGTTGCGTTCAACTATATCAGAAGACGCATTGTATAAAAGATTATCCGGTGGTTTAATTCATTTGTAGTTACTTTGAGAATTACATAAGATGGAAAAACTGTTTAATCCGTGAGTAAAGTGGAATTAAACTGGAAGCGATATTCATAGTTTTGAACATAGAACGCTGAAGTAAGTTATGGCAATGAACATTGGCTTTACCTGAGTACTGTTAGTGGTTTAAGATTAACACTCTTAGACAGTTCTTGGAAAATTCGCGTGTTCTTTGAATGCCACCAATGCGCCACAAACGCAGACGTCTTCCACTCAGTTCCCCGAACCACATGCCGATAGCATCCCTTTGCCGCGATCGTTGCGGTCCGACGAGCAACCCGCTTTTAGTTCACTGATGCAGCAAACTCCGAACGCGACGCGCTCTTAATCGTTCTCATAAACCTGTCGACAATTGACCATCAATTAGATGCAATCTGTATGCCGCATGGGCAGTAAAGTTTGTTGCTAAACCATGGAAATATTTGTGTTTAACGATGCTAACATTCGCATGAAGGCTAACGGCGTCATTTCACGCACAGTTAAGTAACGTGTCAATTTTGAACGCTTTTATTGGCTGATGGATCTTTGTGTTAAATATGCGATGACTGGAATAATTGAACTTTGGTGTTCTCGCGGCAGCGTATTTGAAGATGGCAGCCGCGCTGTATGGATTATCAGGTTTTCTGTTTCGTTGTCCTGTATTCACTTGTCGCAAGATATCCGAGCTTCGTTGATTATTATTATACAAACGCTCATGATGGTGGCTGAAGTACGGAGAGAAGACAGCAACAAGATCGGATGCAGAGTCTTTCTCCCCTTCTTGTCACACTGTGATGTACCTCAGACTCTGTGATATTTTGCGTCCAGTATAATAGGCACCTTGCGATGAGTTCCTCGCTTATGGAGTTTTATCAGATTCCCGGGAAAACTCGTTGTTTTAGAAGTAAATTTTGAATTTGTACAAACTGTGAAGAGCTAGTCCACGACAGGCGAGGAATAAGGAAAATAAATAGAAGAAACCTATCACGGTTACTGAATTTATTTTCGTGTTTTCTTTGAAGATAGGCGACAAAGGGACGACGAACATGTTCCTTACTCTGTAGATTATGAAATCATTTTAAAAATATATCAATAAAGCAGTTTTGATGGTGTAACTTTTCAGTGTTTAACTATGAATAGTTTTATATCATAAACGCCACTATTTATCTCGACACGACGGAAAAGGAGAAATAAGTGAGTTGTTTTGATTATCCTACAGACATTGAATGACTTGGAAGAGCGAGCGCGCGCACACACAGGCCGTACAGTCTGAATAGTAATTCTGGAAACTAATTTGCTAGTCTGAACTCTTTACTGTTTACGAGTGGACAACATTTTGACCTAAATTGCATTAGTCTGTAAGAATTCCGACATATGAATATTTTGTAAATCTCTTATTTTACGGATCCTTATTTTTTGTTACAGACACACGAAGAAGAATATCTTTTGTTCATTTAGTTGTATTTAAGGACGATTTCAGAATCCAGACTAGCGTCGATTTTGTGTGATGAGTAGAAGCGTGAAGTTTTTTTTAAAGTGAACATTCTAGGAATGTGTAGTTAAGGTAGTGTTTGTTGATGTTATTGGAACAGGTAGCAGTGTTTTGAAGATGTTATTGGAACAGATAGTAACGTGATGTCATCATCAGGCGTAGAAATGCTGTAACAGCTGTGGTTTTACAACGAAATGTTTACTAAATACAGTCTGCAGTTAAACGGACGTTAAAGAAAACACGCGTTTAAAGTGTCTGATTGTTTAGTAAGCAGAACTGGGGGAGTTGCTGTACTCGTGGACGTTTACAACCCTGAAATTACTTTGATGCTTATGTAGCTGTCTGGTTAATGTAGGAACATCTGAGCCTTTTATGTGTGTTTGGATCCTCTAATTTTCTTAATCACCCACTTTTCTACTAACAAAAGGCAGCTGAAGATGCTTTCACGATGGTGAGATGATGGGCCAGTGTTCACAGCTAATGGATGACATATTTGGGCAGTTATGATTAATCGTCGATGGCGGTCTTTTCGAGAAGCGAGCAGAATTCTGAAAGTGGAGGCAGTATGTTACTCGGAAATGTTGGTACGCACCTTTAAATGCAAACGGTGTCCGAAGGGCCATCAACGACATCTTCACCGCTGCGAGAACATCGGTTAATTTATTGGTTTAATTAATACAAGTGTGGCAGAGGCCCTGAAGAGAATATTACGACAGACAGACAGACATGGGCGGGGCAGTAAGGTTCTCACGGCGACGAATATGAAGGTGATTGTCTTCTTCAATGTTGCACCATGTAGGCAGTAAGCTTCTGTGAAACGTCGGTGAATACCTACCAGAATACACGCCGCAACATCCCAGTAGACAAATTCTTTTGAACATGATTCATCATTCCTAATGCTAGCAGCAGTGATGTTGTGTTCTCTTCCTTATTTTGAATTATATTTCTCTCACGATGGAAAAAATAAGCTGTAGAAAATATTAAAGCGGCTGCTATTACTTATAAATCAATATTCGAACTGCGATGAAATCATAGTTGGGTCTGAGTTTAGAGAACATTGGCACTTAGTATTATCTCTTAGGCGCTAGTAAAGGGCTGCCTAAAATAGAATTTCCAGTGTGTTGGAAGCCATAAATAAGCGTAGGCCTACGCCTAGTTAAATTGAGACCGAGATAGTAATATTTTCCAAAGCTGCATTTGGCGAACTGGGAGAAGACAATTTTTTTTTAAAGTGGGTTATCAGTCTTTAATTGCCAAGAACGAGGTAACCCGTTTGGAGCCACAGGGGAATGTGTAATCTTTAAAAAAAAATAATTGTGGGAAGAATTAAGAATGCTGTTTCATCAGATGTAATCGACCCAGGTTAGATTCGAGTGACGGAATTATTATGTTAGTTGCACTGAACTTGTTTATGAAACATTGTAGATTGTTTCAGAGTACAGCGCGTTTATTGCTAAAGTCAGATCCCGGCTCCCGTCTGAAACTGCATGACTCACCGCTAAGCGCTACAAGTTTTTTCCAGATACGAATAAAAGTATCGCCCCATAACAACAAAAAATCGACTTACCTTTATAACAGTTAGTTCTGGTAGCCGGAAAAATACAGTTGCTTTCAACTTTATCTGTAATGCGTGGAACATTGATGAAATTCTTTATTCATTAAATGAAAATAAGCTCAGTTCTACAGAGACATTGTCTCACCCCATCCCAATAATAACAATTATTTGAAAATGGAGAGGGCGTATATAATTCCGGAAGAGAACCTGCCCTCAGAGTTTAGAAATCTACGATCCAGAATGACATTTAGGAAAACGCAATTGATCTAATTTAGGGCATGAGTTGTGAACTGGATTAATCTGGCTCTGCATAAGTACAAGTGGTGTTCACTTGTGAGTGGCGTAATGAAATTTCGGGTTCCATAAAAGACCGATTTTCTTTATATTGCAAAAAAGGTTTAATTTATGCCCAAATTTATAGGAGATCAGAAGATCTAGCTTGAATGAAAATGTTATTTTTCCGAAACATTTTAATTGAATTGGCGTAATCCAAATACAGTTAATGGTTTTGTGTTCGCGACATGCAAATTTATGGATGACGCCCCATAAGCCACTGTCTTTGTGAACTCGGCGAATTCTTTTAACCTCTTGGTAAAACAGTTGACTAGGGGTTGGTTGTCTGGTTGGTTCAGGTCCATTGCAAAAGAATTCGTAGTGCTTGAGGCCGATGTTAAAATTCGTGCAATACAATGAGATTATTTGGCGGCTGTGCCGGCAGGACTAGGATTCGCGGTAACTGACGCAGTGATCGCGCATAGCGGAAAGGCCGTACTGGTACATCGTCAAGTTACCAAAGAGTCATTCTGCATAAATTATTGTTATCATTATTGGGTGTTTGTCAACAAATCGAGATCTATGAAGAAACATCGGACACGCTTTTGTTAGTTCCATAACATAGCCTGTGTCATAAGTAGCCATACAAAACTTAATCTTCCGATGTCTGTCAGACAAGTTTTTATATCCCTGGGAGAGGTCGCTCGGCAGGTCAGACTCAAAGCCAGTTGTTTATTACTTTATGGTTGAACTTGACTAAGTGTGACGTAAACATCATTTTTGCTAACATCATATAAGCGGTGCTCAACTGTTATTGTTTTGTATCAGTAAATTTATTAACCTGTGGGTTGGGTAAAATCACCTCGAGTTAATTCTTTCAAAAATGTATTTTTTTCTTATTTGTTTCGTTTATTTAATTCACAATGCATTTTAGAAAATGTTCAATTATTTAGTAATAACCCTATATGAACAGGGTGCAGGATGTTTTGTTAACTTGCAGTTTATATCTGGTATCTATTCTGATCTGCATTTTGAAGTGTAATTCAGAACTATTAAGGTAGGCAGAGAAGGGTCACACCTAAGAAAAGAACAGAAAGGAAGATGGAAGCAGTATGTCCCTCCAATTCGTTTGTTTCTGCTTCTAAGTCCACAGGACGTTATAAAACAGACGGCCAATGTCGAAAAGTATTTTCAATATATTTTGCATTGTTTATGTTGATACAATTCGAGATATGTTTATTCTTCTATTCTGGGAACACGTATTTTTCACAAGGTTTAGATTTCAGTTTATGCTTACCTGTGCATTACTTGTGTAGTCGTTGTATCATTTAATAGCCTTCGTTCGTGGACCAAATTTGCCCTTAGTTCTGAGTTTGAGCTTCGCTGTTTATGGAAAGGAATGGCAGACGAATGAGGAGCACGGAGCAAATGCTTCCATGAATTGTGTCATTTTTGCAGGACCTGGGTGCTGCATCGGGGTTGACAGTAGTGAAGATCAAGCAAGAACCATTGACGGCCTCCGATGGACATATTAATGGTGAGTATTAAACGTTAACAGTCGGTTTACGTGTGGAAAACAAAAGAAGACGATTTGCTGGAGGCTGGTGCTCGAAACTAGTAAGTTTTCTTCGTTTTTTCTTCAATGTACGTTTTATTGAAAGGTTTCGACTTATTTCTTGTTAATATTTCCGTTATTCCGATTCCGGTAATAAAAAGAAAAATTGTACTTCTGTAGGGGCTAAACATCTTTGCATACTTGAGTGAATATTGATTACACCGTACGAGTGTGGTGGGTTTAAGTACTTTCTTCCAATGAAATTTCTCAATGTAAATTAGTCTTCACATACATCATGTTTTGTTGTCGATGTACGTATTTTGTATTTTCATTTTTGTGAAAAATATGATGAGTGCATTTGTTACGAAATGCATCTTGTCAGGGCGGTTTGACTATTCAAATTGGCTAATTGTCGTGAAGCAAGAAACCATCCAGAATGTTGTGACGAAGTGAGTTGGTGAAAAGTATAAAAAAAAAAAATGTTTGGATACTTTGCGGCTGTGCCGCTGGGATTAGGAAACTCGTCAGCCGACGCAGTGATCGCTCATTGCGGGAAAACATTGTCGTGCCTCCAACAGTCACCAAATATAATTCAATATACTAATTTGAAATTGTGAAGTGGTATGAATCAAGGCGGTGACAGGCTTTAATTTGTTGTTTCATGCTCCCCTTTTCGTCTTCTGTCCCCTCTTATTATTCGTCCCTGCCTTGCTCTGCCTGTCTCCACGTCACTTCTACCCGTTGTTCTTTGTCTCGGTGCGTGCTTACGGCCAGATAGGACGTGTCGCTCCCGTAATAGGTAACCTGCCATCTTGCTGAAGAGTTCAGCTATGGTGAAAGTGCACAAGGGTCCGCAGCTCGTGCCCCGAATTCGATATCGATACATCGCCCAAGTACTCCAATTTAAAGCGGAACGCGGAAAGGAACATGTTACTAGCCCATGCGTTATTTATCGTAGGGTTTTGGTGGCAATGAAATGTTTCTGAATACGATAAATTCCTTTCGGAGCAAAAGACTTTTGCTTTAGTATTGCTATTAATGATCGTAGTCAGTGACTAAATGAAATATGCCAGAAGCGGTCTATTCGCTTTGAAGGGGGGGGGATCCGATTTTTTCGATGTTTAGGTAAAGCTGAGGTCGCAACATGTTGAAATGCGTTTATAATTACCTATCAAGAGATGATGATGATAATATCGAGGTCTTATTCAGCCAAGCATATATCAGTGGCCAGACTCTGAGTTATTGTTCTAGATCAGAGGTTCCCAAAGTGTGGGTACCCCCTCCCCCCCGGGTGGGCGTGTCGTTTATATAAAAAACTTTTTTTAATAATATGATGTAACATTTTTAACATAATTTGCTTGGTTGAGGCAGTTTGGTTGTCTTACAGTGCTGTATACTCGTACTAATTTTATGTCAAATCTGTTTGCTTTCACTAGTTTTCGAAGGGGGGTGAAATTTATGAAATGTTATAAAGGGGGCGCAAGGTATAAAAGTTTGGGAACCCCTGTTCTAGATGTAACGTGTGTTATTTCCTGGAGAGCCCACTTGGGACTTCTCGAGTTTCCATGGAGACAGCAAGCAGTCAGCTGTTGCGTGCTGAGATAGCTCCGGTCACCAGCAGCTTAGAATGTCTGATTCGATGCGTGTAGTACAGGTTTATGTTCTACTCCTCGAAAGTGTACACACAAGGTTTTTTTTTTGAAGGCCGTCAGTGGTGTAGGAAGAGGTACGCGATCGGGTTCAAGCACCGATTGCTTCATCTTCAGAGATGCAACATCCGATAGCGTACAGTTGAATAGGAGGCTCGCGGATCTCGAGAATCAATTAGGACGCTGTGGCGAAGAAAATTGCTGCTGTCTGAAATCGAGCGACATGAAACTGCGCTATGGAATGTGAAGGCGAAGGTTATGCCTATATTCCGATGGGTGCCCGTGGATTAAACGGTTGGAGCATGAAGCTGACCACTCGCCTCGAGGTAGTGCCAGAGATCTAAAATGTGTGGAGCTTAAATCCTTTTGTATTCCGTGTTTTGGGATAAAGATTACGTCCTTACCTGAATTCTGAGGTTGACTGTTCTTATTAGAATTAATTTATGGCACTGTGAATATGTCCGTTGCAGGGCCTTTACATACGCAGAACAATTCAATACGTAAAAGCTGCGAAATACGTGAGTTATTTATATTAGGTATCGAACCCGCGATCATAGTCTTCAGTGTCATCCGTAGAACACCTGGCTACTGTTATCTCTATCTTTATTACTGTTGGTACTGATACTAATTCTGTCATCATCCTTAACTACCCGTCAAGATGACGGGAAAATCAAAAGTAAGTTTAGTAAATGCTCATTTTCATAAGTAGTGTTCCATAAGGCTTAGCATCTATCAACGTCATTAGTATGGCAACGGTTGTAACCTAACCTAACCTAACACGCACACACAGTGCAGATAGTGATTTAAAAATGGTCACCAAATATTGTCTATTACATAGATTATTCATACTGATTCATGATTATCGTCGCTGCCAACATCGTGGGTTTTTTTTAACTTTTAACGACACTCGCAATAGCTCAGATTATATAGCATCTAATGGAAAGATGATTAACATTGGATTGAAAAGGTTATGGAAGGAAGCAGTCCTGGTCTGATTTCCTGGCATTTACCTGCAAAGACTAGGGAAACCACGAAAAGCCTCGTACTCCGGCCGAAATTTGAACCCGAATACGAAACGCAAGTGCTAACCGTTCGGTCGACACGTTCGTTGTCGTATTGAGGTCCCGGTCTGGGCGAGACGGGGCAATTACACTGTGTTCAGCGCCAGGCAGCAGTGAGCTATGGCGATGTTAATGGAGCTGCTAATTCGAGGCTGACAGGTGCTGCCCTGTAGACGCGCCTCTCGTCAAGTCCCCGACATTTTTAAGGAATCCGTGTCGACAGCCACGATTACTAATCTGCCCGAAAAACGCCGTGGAGATTTATGTATCACTCCGCCCACTCAACAGCGCGGCGTGCACTCGAGGTAATTTAAAGCGAGGGTGATGTGTGGATGGCCCGCGAGTTTAACTCCACGTGTTCATAGCCTGCTCACTCCGGCCGTATTTACCCCATGAAATCGGTGTTACGCATTGTCCCTGTGACAGCACAAAATCACAAAGATGTACGTGGAGAAATTTGGGTAAAAAAAACGAATTCTTAACCTGGACAGCAGTTTGTCGAGCGTCTTGACACCAAGATACTGTTGTTTCTACACATTTGGCTCCAGGAACTTGAAGATGTAGGACCAAACTGGGGAGTTCAGAAAAGCTTCACTTTCCATATATGCGGCAGCTTCACACTCCGACCCTCTTTATCTCAGAAAAGATCAGCCTTGCCCGTAACCCCCCGTGACGTAGCTATAGGAGGAACTGAGGTCTTGTAGTAAAGCTAGACAGAGCCATAACCTACGCCTTAGTTGCTTAGTTGAAGGCAGGTGACAGATAAGTGTTTAGGGCCCAACAGGAATGATATCCCATTAGGAAATGGCAGTGTACTCTGTCATTCGCGTTTCATCTCACTTATCTTCGGTAGGCCTTTTTGAAAGGGAGTCGTTTAATAACGAGCGGTTCGTTGTGCAGACACCGAAGTTTATAATGTGTCAGATTCAGAAAAATGATTTGTCAAATGAATAGAATGTTCTCTTTCTGTCTTACCCTCTTTTCTCATAATCATACAATTGTGGTTTCGTCTTTCACTGTTCCTGACTTAATTCTGTGGTGAGGAATCGCCTCTTTCCGAAGTCCCTGTCATAACAGCGCAGATGTCAGTTGGCATGTCAGTAAACAACAATACGTCAGGAGTCGGATCGTGCATTTCAAGGGGATTACTCCAACTGGTGTAAAATATTTGTGTTTTGCCTTTCCCAAAGTAAACAACTGTAAGCGTCGCCAATATCAACAACGTGTAACTTGGGCTGGCTGTCCACATGAGTTACAGCTCCTGTAACCCGCCCATTGAGTTCTGCTCTCATGTCAGCAGCCCCACACTTGCCAAATGTTCCTGGGCAAACATTCTGTACCTCTGGCTCGCAGTGACAAGGCGATTCGGAAGTTGAGATATTCCCGTGGCACGGGAAATGTTCATGGGAGACGTCATTTGTTCCTGATTCTAAATGTTAATGAATGTTGGTAGGATTTGAGGTTCCCACGGGTTTCCTTATATTATACCCCGACGCTGAGCGTTTGTTAGCTGTGTTAGCCCGGCTAAAAGTGTAAAGTACTCCCATGGGACAGAACCTGTAAGATAACATTCATCGTTAGCCAGCCAGGCGCTCTGCGCAAGCGCAAGCCTCAAGTACCAGGCTAACAACGCCTGGCTGGCGATTGTTTCATCTGAACGGTTCTCGTATGTTTCAGTGTATGCAGTATCACTGAACCATGAAAGGAAAACATACTTTTTATTTTTTTGTGTTTCTGTTAGCCGGGCAAAAACGGTTAACAAGAACGCTCTGATCATCTTTGTACTTAGGAAAATGATTAATTTGTACAGTCTAGCCTTATAACAGCGTTGGTGCGTATAATTATGTACTGAAGGTTTTTCATAGGGCGGGCCGTGACGTTGGGCAAATGAAGATCTGTGTAAGCGGCTTGATAATTTATAGAAATGTAAACAACTGTGCGGTGTTGTGACTTCACAAGGAATGCGTCTATTTCATTATCATGACGCAACCCTAGCAAATTGGTTCACGTAAACAACGCAGACAGAAATATGAAAACATTGGTAGGTGGTAGCGTGTAATCACAGCTGTCATCGTCTAGAAAGTAGTTCGTTACTAACGTGTGGAATTCAGAGCCGTAATACAACAGACCACGTACTTAGCAAAACACCCGCAAAATATACTAACAAAAGTGAAAACAGATTTGTCTTCGGTTATCGTTAATTAGACCAGAGGATTTAGACCTCTTTGACAATGTTACACGTATTCCGAAAGATGTAGATGGTCGGTGGATA